CGAAAATCCTCACAACTAGACCAATAAAGACCATCATGATAAATGGAAAAAAGATTGAAGTTGTCAAATACTTCATTTTGCTTGGATTCATAATACTCACAGAAGCAGGAGTTCAGAAATCAAAGGATGTACTGCATTAGGCAAATCTGCTGCAAAAGACCTCTTTTAAGTGTTCAAAAGCAAAGATAGCAATTTGAAGACTAAGGTACCCCGACCCAAGTCATGGTAATTTCAACTGCCTCATATGCATGTGAAAGTTAGACAAGAATAAAGAAAACTGTAGAAGAATCAATACATTAGAATTATGGTATTGGAAAACAATTTTGAAAGTACCATGGTCTGCCAGAAGACTGAACACATTTGTCTTGGAAGACATATAGCCAGAATGCTCTTTAGAAACAAGGATGGTTAGACTTCTTCTCGGGTTCTTTGGACATGTTATTAGGAAGAACCAGTCTTTGGAGAAGGACATGATGTTTGTAAAAACAGAGGGTCCAAGAAAAACAGGACGATCCCCAACAAGTGATAGCAACAATGGGCTCAAGCATGACAACTGTGAGGATGGTGCTGCTCTGGGCAGTGTTGGCTACTGTCGTGATAAGTAAGGGACACTGTGAGTTGGAACCAACTGAACAGCACCTAGTAACAACATCATCGTTCCTACGAGCAAGGCTATTCTCTTCCATTGTTAGAAGACAATTATGGACTTCAGTAAAATTAACATTGATACAATACTTTGATCTCTTTTGCCCTCCATATCCCATGCCGTCATTAGCCCAATAATGTACTTTAGGGACAGACCTAGTGTTTTTTAATGGCTGAATCGTATTAAGAATTAATAGAAGTAATTAAGAATTAATAAGAGTAGAGTGCCTTGGCATTTAGAAATCCTTCTCGTTACAGTAACTCGTTTGATCCTCATGTTGCCTCTCTGAAGGCAGGCAGGCAGCGCCATCCTTGCTTTGCCCATGATGGTGATGAGGTTGAAGGGATGTCAAGTACAGAAACAGCTCAGACCCCTCCCCTGCCTCAATGCTTCCTTCTATTTTGAAGATTTTATGCATTTTAGTGTCAGCCAGCAGACTGAGCACTAATTCAAGCATATTAAATTCTGATAATAAAATAATATAATTTGGGTGCTTTTCTCTCTAACCACTTTCTTTTATGTTCAAGTTACAGACTCTAATTAATACCCACAGCTACGTGCTCAGGAAGCATCCTGCGATGGATTAAAAGTGTCCCACCAAAATAATTGTTGAGACCCTAATCACTATTGTTGTTGTTGTTGTCAGGTGCCATCGAGTCGGAACCGAC